AGGAGAATAAATGAATATACACAAAGCACCCTTTATTCTCCTGAAGAAGAATAGTGAAATATTCGAAAGCGCTCGAGTTTTGGGTCTCGTTTGAAAACCATTACAACTTGATATGTGATAATATTGACCACCAATTCAACACCTGGTGGCAGACCTCGTAGAGATTGATACTTAGTGAGGAATCTACTGAAGTGAATAATTAATTCAAAATACAGTAACAGCAACTTTAACAGACGGCACGATCTTATTTTTTGTATGTTTCTTTCTCTAAAGTTTTCGTCGATATTTCAACAACCTTTTACTTGAATAAGGTTCTTTGTTACTAGCAACTCCTTGGAATGGGCTCTGCAACACTAAATTTGTAAAAGTATAGAAATAAGAAATTCTATAATAAAGCTTTAGTATAATTATCGTAGACGATATGCTGTTAATCCTTCACATCTGTTTAGACCATTGTTCAAATAATAGGCATTAAATTATGAAGAAATTGGTTTTCGTATTAATGAAAGAGACCTTGATATGCTACTTTCTGCCTGGCTGTGAAAATTCCACAAGTCACCCCTGTAAAACTTCCTTTTTCACCTGGAAGAAGTGACATACGGTAAACTCAGCCTTGTTATACCTTGGCTTTTGATCCCTGTAATATGTGGAGTGTGATGTCATAGTTGAATTTTTGTTGATTTGTTTTTAAATTATAAACTTATGAAAACATGGTATTAAGAGAAACATGTTTCATTCTTCATTCACTTTTATATTATCGTTACAAGAGGTTTGTGGTAAACGTCAAGAAAGCTGAAACACAATAACACTGACTTCAAGAACACTGTAACTCATTTAAAGAAAACTGTAATCAATATGACACTCATTTAAAAACAAATTTAAATAGTACGACACTTATTTAAGGAAAACTGTAAATAATACGGTACTCACGTAAAGAAAACTGTAAACAGTACGACACTTATTTAAGAAAAACTGTAAATACTACGGTACTCACGTAAAGAAAACTGTAAACAGTACGGCATTTATTTAAGAAAAACTGTAAATACTACGGTACTCACGTAAAGAAAACTGTAAACAGTACGGCACTTATTTAAGAAAAACTGTAAATAATACGGCAATTATGTAAAGGAATCTGTAAACAGTACAACACTCATTAAGCATTTCTGAAATGACGTAACTTTAAAATTCAAATTTCGTTCCTAAGTTCACTACACTGAATGTGTTTGATAATGTTGTAGACTTTGGGATATCGCTTTATGCAGCTGAGACAGAAAAAACAAAATAGATAAAATTGCACATTTTTTCGCTAGTCCTTAAACAAATTACAAATATCAATACATCCAAAACAGATGTCCATTCTGTTTTGATATATATAGTAAAAGTTTGCATGATTTCGAGAAAGGCCTGAAATATTCTATCTGGATACGTACATACTTCACCAACAATTATATAACTGAAGTTCGACAAATGCACGGGAAAGCTTTCAAGAAACAATGACTTAAATCAATGGTGTCCTCTTTCTAAACACGCGTTTTCTTGCGCTCCTCCCATCTCGTATAATATATTTGTGTATATACTGTGTATGCCAGTTTCCCATGTTAATTGTTGTTACTATATTACTTAGTAATGGTAATATTTGTACGGTAGAATTTAGAAATTCTATATTTTTTAAATTCGTACTTTCAGACATAATTTATATGCTCATACAGTCATAGTTGTGCGCCCTCTACCGACTCTTCATGCTTCTATTGGAAAAGCGCCCCACAATTTGCGAACAACGGGCTTAAACAGCAAGGTAATTTGTTTGTATACATATCTTGTATACTCTGAAAAGGAGGGTTTTTCTGAAAACAAAAATTCTCAGGTTATTATCGAATTAATATATAACAATGAAAAGGTTGGTAAAATTATACTATTCATGCTTTATGATTCTTTTATCTAAGAAATATAAAGGGAAACAATAGAATAATCGATTTTCTTCCTCTTTTCAACTGTTGTTCGATAAGCTGTACCTTTCTGGTGTTTAAAATCCATGTATCTATCTATATTTAGGTTCTAGCTAAAGTTTCTGCGGGAAGCTCAAACCCCTCACTACACCCTTGGGGCTTGAGGAAGAAATATTCTCGCTGCGTTGTTCAGATGCCTTGCAGTATTGTTTATGTCAAAACCAACAAGGTACGTTTCAAACTTTATTCCCTTGGAAACCTAATCAAACAGAATAAAGCTTTCCAGAAACTTCTTAGGCATAAACTAGACTTCCGGAAAGATTCTATTTCCTAGAAGATTTTACAGAAAGTAGTAAATTGCTTTTTCTTTACTTTTTTTTTTTTCTGTATCGGGCTATATTTCTTGGTGCTTACTTTTTATAAACGTATTGATAAAGAGACCTAAATCGATATAATATATTTTTTAATAAGACTACAACATCCAGTCAGCGTAAATTGAACACTAAAAGAAATAATGAGTACAATGTAGATGTTTTAAAAACGTATAAATAACGAAAATAATGTGTTTAAAGGTGTTCTAAGGTTCTACAAATAACAAGTACAAATTGATTATATAAAGAAAGTTTCGCAATTAAACGAGTCATATTTCATAAACAGTATGACATAGGTAGCTGGGATTGTACAGGAGTCTTAAGAAAATAGTGCAATGTAAATACCACAGTTGTCACGTGTTGCCACCAGAGGCGCCACTTTGGTTTCCTTCGCATATTTTGCATGGATGTAATTGGGCCTGTCGATTGCAAATGCAGCTCATTTAGCCAAAATGAATGTAACAAGTATAGAGAGGTATGAACTAGTGAAATGTTATTCCATCAAAGGATACACTGTCAGGGCAGCTCTTAAGGAATACCGTAGAGTGCATCACATCCATAGAAAACTTTGTTCCACTGTTGTTGTGCGCAAACTAATAAATAAATTGGGGAAACACTTTGCATTTATGATAAGCCACCTACAGGCAGACCACCGACACCTACTGAAACTATCGGTAATATTGGTCAGCCATGTGGCCGGAAAAAAAGCCAGTACAAGTGCATATTGATGCAAAAGTGTACACTATGTTGCCCCATATCTGTATTTGCCAATTTCAACTGCTCATAATGTTGTTCAGTCAACTTTGCGAATGATTCCTTACATCAAGCACTGAATAAGATATATTTAACAAAACCCATTAATTTTGCGTTGCAGTTCTTGGCGATACTGGAACTCGATGACTCATGGCCTACCAACACCCTATGGACTGAGAAAGTATACTTCACCATTTATAGAAGTGTCAATACGCACATTGTTGGAAACTAATCCACATGTAACGTTTCCTGCACACCTCCATGATGCTACGGTGACGTTATAGTCGTTATTTTTCCAACGTTAAGACAACTTTAGTCATATAATCTTCTTTGTTATCAGACCGTGAGTTTTGAATAACGATCAGCACATTTACTGCAAACTTGTACAGTCAGTGCTGTACGTTACCATGCAGTGCTCACAGCCAGTGTGATTCCCATGCTACAGCAATGACATGTGATAGACTTTACGGTTTTCATGCACCTATGCATATTAATATCTAGGTGCAATAATCTTACAGGAGCACTTTCTGGACAGAATAATTTTACGTCACACTTGT